AGAGAGAGAGAGAGAGGCGTTGCAAAAGCCAGAGCGAGAATGAGAGACAGAGTGTTACTTCCCATGAATCTGGATTTTCGTCGGTCGAGCAGGTGCTGCACTCATACTGACTCATACAGTCTGAATCTTTGCAGCCCAGTGCCTTAGGTGACCAGCGTCGCATCGCTCTCAGGTGCCAAGCCATCGGGCTTAAGGGTTCGCTCGTTTCAGAAATATCCCTAACCCTAAACCCTAAACACCTAAACCCCTAAACCCCTAAAACCTCAAACCCTAAACCCTTAAACCCTAACCCCTAAACCCTAATGTTGGGAGGCTTCGAGGGCTTTGGTGTCAGCGTAACTGGCCTAGAGGTTTCCACGGCCTTGGGCATTGGGGTGTTAGGGTTTGCTTAAGGTGGCGGGGTTTGGTTGCAGCGCTTAGGTTGTGAAGCTTTTGATTTGTACGGTTGGGAGGTCTTGGTTAAACCCAATACCCTAAACCCTAAACCCTAAACCCTAAACCCTCCTAAACCCTAAACCCTAGACCCTAAACCCTACACCACCTAAACCTCCAGGTTCCTGGAGTGTCGGGCTTGGGTTTGATTTAAAAGGGTTCAGGGATTCGCAGGGCTCGGGTATGGGTCTTCTACGGAGGCATCTGCCCAAACCTACAAGCCCGAATCTGCGAGAAGGCCCAACCGACACCAAAGGCCAGGATCAAGGCCAAGACCTCGAAAAAGCTGAAAACGTAGCTTCCGTGGAGGTCTCCATCCTGACACAGCTATCATAAGCACAATGTTGAACCTGTTTTCTACGGATGCGAGGACGAACCAGACCCTGCGGATGGCTGTTGTGAATTTTGGGTTTACCTCGCTATATAGAAACTTCATCCGCATTCCGAGATTTTCAAGGCCAGTGCCACGATGGTCGTAAAGCAGTCGGACTTGGAAATCCAAAAAAAGAGTGCCATGGGATCTTTCGAACTGCTGTCATGGGGGCCTACTTTAACAGGTGTTTGTGCACCAGCATAACAGAGGAACTTCCTTACACAGGATTCACCGGCCGACTTTGTCAGAGTTCAACACGAGAGAGGCACCAGACATCAGAACGGCCAGTACTCGTCTCATCAATTAATCCGTTTGCGGAGCACTTTATCAATACTTCCGCCGCTGCGTCGGAAATCTTCCTTGCACAGTTCATTGCTGGTGGTCTCAGGAACGCGCGTGACTCAACGGCCAAAGATAAGGTGTGGCACACCAGCGCAAGGAGTTGTAAAGCCCTGGCCGCCAGCACCTTGCCCAAACCCTTAGCCGTTGCATCATAAATTGTGTTGCAATAGATTCAACGTACCGCTTTACATGTAATGAACTCGGGTGTGACCCCAAGACCCCAAGCCCCTAAACCCAGAGGCTTAAAGACCTAAGTCCCATCGCCCTATGCCCGACAACCTCAACCCTAGACCTTTTGCAGTAAACTCTAAACCTCCCTAACCTGACAGCATACCCCGAGAGGCCTCCTTTGGAGTGCGACTGGTCGAAGAGATAAACCGCCGGGGCCGAACGGCGCAGCACACGCTCGCGGGCTTCAGGCTGGGCTGACTTTCGGAGTCAAACAGGCAGTGTTTATGTATATGTGTCATTGTAGCACCAAGAGTCGCAGTTACCGTATCAGCAGTCGTCATCATCATCATCGTCATCATTTCACATTAGAAACCTGCTAGCGGCAATTGCCGCAACAAGCATAATGACAGCACCACAACAACAACAACAACACCTACTACTACTACTACTACTACTACTACTACTACTACTACTCCTACTACTCCTACTACTCCTACTACTCCTACTTCTCCTACTTCTCCTACCACTCCTACTACTCCTGCTCCTCCTACTCCTACTCCTACTGCTACTGCTGCTGCTGCTGCTACTACCACCACTACTACTCCTGCTGCTGCTACTACTACTACTACTACTACTCCTGTGGTGGTGGCGACGACGACGACGGCCACGAACGCTGCGTTTGCTACCACCACCACGACCACGACAGCGACGACCCCGACGAAGGCGACGACGGCGACGACCGCGACGACCATGACGGCCACAAGGACCACGACGACCGATCGCAACGACCGCGACTTCCACGACGATCACGAAGACGACGACGACCGCCATAACCGCGACGGCCGCGACGACCACGATGACCGCGAACCGCGACGACCACGACAGCAACGACACGACCACCTCCACCGCCACCCTGCGGCTGCTGCTGGTGGTTCTGCGACGACGACTACTACTATGCTGCTAGCTGCTACTAATTACGATTATTATCATTACTACTACAACAGCAACAACAACAACTACTACTACTACTACTACTACTACTACAGCTACTATTTCAACTACTACTAAAACTACTGCTGCTACTACTACTACTACTACTACTACTACTACCTATACCACCTATACTACCTATACTACCTATACGACCTATACTACCTATATTACCTATACTACCTATACTACCTAGACTACCTAGACTACCTATACTACTTATACAACCTATACTACCTATACTGCCTATACTACCTATACTACCTATACTACCTATACTACCTATACTACCTATACTACCTATACTACCTACTACTTAACTACCTACTGCTACTACTACTACTACTACTACTACTACTAGTGGTACTACTGCTGCTACTACTACTACGACGACTACTACTCCTGCTGCTGCTACTACTACTACTACTACTACTACTACTACTACTTCTACTTTGCTTGTTTAGCGAACGGATCTGAGCCTTTTTTTTTTCAGGGCTGACGCGGCTGACCGGCCCAGCCGCAACTGGGCGTGAAGATATGAATTTGAGGTACTCGTGTGATTTCGTTAGCAGCTCACTTTTTGATGGGTTCTCATATGTGCTGTGGCAAGAGCTGACGAACATGCCGCTAGGTAATGAAGATGAGTTCGACGTTGAGGATCCGCCGGCCTGTCGTGGTGCTTCCGCAGTTCAAATTTCAGACCCTGCATATGGCTTGAGGAGCTGCGCCAACTGAACAACGACTTCCAGAAGCAGAAGAAGGCACGTTGACAGATGAATTGCATGCCCAACACGCTAAAATCTGCTGACCGCAGGATCTTGAGAACCAAATGGAAGATCTCCAAAAGCAGCCAATGGCTTACTCCAGCCCTCCAGCATTCAATCAGCCGTGGATGTTGAGCGGAGAACAGCTCGGCTCAGGCTTAGCACCTACAGGCTGGAGCTCGCGCGCATGAAGAGAGAGCTGGGGCCTAGAAACAGTGCACAAATGTCCGTGTGCGACCCACGAGCCGACTTGTTTTGGTCTGTCAGGGCGGCTGCGTAGTGTGTCAAAGAACCATGACCATAACTGCAAAATCGGAATTTAAATTGGTCGGGGCTGTTTTGTACTCCACGCGTCAGTTTTGTGACTCTGCCAATAGGGAACTGCTCAAGACCTGAGGTTGACAGTTTGTGATCAACAAGATGCGGCCTTGACCGAGACTGCTAGAAATTTGGAGGTGTGGAGACAGGCAGTCATGTTCAGAGTTTCAGGGACTTGCAGCTGTCAGGCTCGGAAAGATCAAGAGGGAGACGCTGCCGCGTCCAGCTCTGAGACTGGCAGAGGGATCCTCTATTTAGCCATGAAGGTGCGAGTCGTCCATGACAGGACCAGACGAACTCTTGAAACGAAGCTCCACGACATTAGCCATTTCAAATCTTCGAATCAGCGGAAACGATTGCAGGCACTTCCGGCGAGTTTGCCAGTGCGTGTTCAGTCATTAAACTAAGTCTCTGCCGACGAATGCACCATCTCACAAGGCAATGCAACGACGTCGATTCGCAAAATGTCAACAGGAAGACAGACAGAGAGATTGGGCTGAGGCACTTGAGCGAGCAGTGCCTCAACAAGAAGGCCAATAATTTCATGTCACAAGACAACAAAAGACTCACGGAGATCGTCTAAGAACTTCGGGAAGAAGCCCAACAAAACAGGCATGAGACAGTGGCCCACGAACCCACTCGGCGTTGAAGGCACCATTGGCGGATTTGGCGAGGCCATTGTTCCAACAGCTGCCCTAAGTCAAGACCTATCTTGATTGTTACAGTCTCGTTCATGAAAAGAGACTCCAACATCCACTGCAACATCATTTCTACAGCTTCTATATTCAGCGGAAATTCGTGCTTGATTTCTATATGCTGTTTTCATTTTGTTCTGTAAAGGCATGCTTCTGTTTCGTATGCTGTTGGCTGTACTTCGAGAGGATATGAGAAGCAACGGACTAAGCAACTCACCAACTTGGTATTTTCGATTTAATCGTAAATAAATATTCATGACCTCAAGAAGCATCATACAGCTTTGATTAGACAGGCTTATTCAGAAGCACGGGCAAAAAATGAAGCAGGTCGAGCACACGCCGAAGTTCGGTGTTTTTTGTGCTGTCTCTTGTGGACGGACATCGTGCGCATGGTGCATGCTGTAGCTTGAAGTTGCAGTCCTCCTGAGCATGAGCTCGAGAATAGCCAACCAACAGGGACGGCAGGGGAAGTCTGGTTGTTCAAGGCAAAGTCGCTCCCGTTCAGCACCCCCGAAAGCAGACGCGACCCCACGTTATCCCATTTTCACCGAACACAAGCCCTGTCAGATTCTACCAAGGAAAGAGAGCCGTGGTATGATGGGCCTGATGGAGCAAGAAGCACTGCCAAGTACTGCAAGGTCTCATACTCGAATTCACTCTTTTTTTTTTTCTGTCAACGTGCTTTCCCGTATCAAAACATTAGGACACCATGAGTTATCAGTTAAAGTTAAAGCACATTCCTGCCTGTCATTTATCTGTGGCGCGTCATTTCAATAAGGAATCGGTCTTATATTGTTGAACGAGCGAGAGACCGAACTATTTGCCGAATTGTCTGATTCATCATCTACTAGTAACAACTTTACAACACGAACGGGAGCGACATAGCATCTAGTTGGCTGACAAAACGACGATCCTAGTGGCGGTCTCGTCTGCGTTGGCACTCAGCCGGATTCTTGGCGGAGCTCAGTTGACTTTGATCTGTTCACCGAGATGTCACGCATGCGACATGGGCTGCTTCGATTTCCAGATTTGTCTCGCAAGACTGCCAGTTACTCAACTCACGGGATGAAACCGAGCGCAAGCTGGTCAACCTCACCCAGGCTTTATTTGCATTCCGTCGATTTGTCGTCTCCACGCCACTGGACGTGCAGGACTTGACCCTCGCATTGAACAGGCAGCAGCAGGCCGATACAAAGCTGCGCGGGAATGGCAGTACCTGATGTTGCCTGGTCTGACCGAAGAGCTGTGCGGCTCCTTGTGGCCATGGCAGTCCGACAGCCGTGCCAGAATGATCAGATCTCTTCACGGAGATGCAGGTGTCGTCCGGCTTGTTCCCGGTGTGCGCTGATGACCAACTCTTTCGATAGTCGACCTCCGCAATAATCTATTGTAGCTGCTTCTCAGAGTTTGAGAAGTCAAAGGCATTACACGGGTTGTCAACTTCTGGGGATGATGGATCATGATTGGGGATGTGTGAGCATCGGCCTGGATCCGCACAAGTTGTCCGATCCATTCCAGTGTGGAGTCCAGGCAGCAAGCCGGGCGGTGTAGCCCGGGGCCTGGCATTCAGAACCTTCTGCCGTCGGTTGCATGTGAAATACTGCGTGCTTGGAAATTGTAAGAGGTGCCAAGTTGCATTGGATCTTTCTGCATTGTGGTGAAGTGTGTTGGAGAGATACTACTGTCGTAGTTAGAGGAAACCTGAACAGGATGAAGCCGGGCTTAAGATAGCGGACATGAAGCGCCAGGAGCTGCGGCAGCTTCGTTCATGTTTTACCACCTTGCCTGGCGGCTTTGTGGCTGCAGCCAGGAGCTGGCCGCAACAGAGCCGGTTCGACTTTCAGGATCTGGGCCATTCTCTCAGGGTCACCAGTGCTTGTGCCCGTTCTTGTGCCTGGAGTTCTTAACGATGCCGTCTCAGGCGGTTCCATGGCCTGCATGAGATCTTCGAGGTGTCAGAGCGTGCACTTCAGGTCAGGATCCTACGACGGACTGTGGACTGGTTTCACACCCGGACATCGAAGAAAGACTCCCGGACATCGAAAAATGCTTTATGCCTTTGAAAGATGGCATCGAAAAGCCGTCCCGTCCGTTCCCGCTCCCTTCCCCGAAGCTGTACAGTCAGCAACGAAACTCCAGTCAAGGCCCGCCGATGTGACAACTCCACGATGACCTAGTGGACACAGCAAACATGAAAGGGGTCATTCTCACAATCACAGGTCGGGACTGACCGTCGGTGAATTCCAGGTCAGGCCCAGGCAAGAAGAGAGAAACACCAGAGTTCACAGGTTTGTCATGGTTGGTGTCTTTCCATGATGTCACATGGGAGCCGGGTTGGGGGGGCGGAAATCCGGGCAAACGAGTGGAAGTGACTCCCCACTTCGCAGGATGTGAGATGCATGACGGATAGATTGGTATACTTGGTTGAATTGGCCCAAGGACGTGTCCAGCTCTCTGAAGGAGGCCAGGCGAGCTTCGCAGCTTCGCGAGGTAAGTCTTGTTCATGACATCGGCTCGCATCCACACGTGTGCAGGTTCGTGCCGGCCTCGGCTTCGGGAGCGTCGATGGATCACTCCAGTAGCAATAGAAACTGCAATAGCAACTGTCTATGATTGTGAAGTACTTTTTGATTGCTCACTTCGGTAACTAGCACAGGGACGAGATCCAGTGTTCGGTTCGAGACGTGCTGATGTTGTGTCTGTGTTGAAATCGGGTGTGGTTCCGGTACAGGAACGGAGCAGAAAGAAAGGAGCTTAGGACGGAATGAAGGAGTTGGAAGCAACAGAGGAACAGGCGCGAGGAACTGGAAAGCCATGAGGTGTCGACGAGACCGGCAGGAGGAAGCAAGCCTACTGCATGCAAACAAACATAGCAACAAAAATCAAGATGGTCCTCTCAGCTCGTCTTTCCGTGAATCCTGCCGACCTTGCGCTTGAACAGCGCAATGCACCGACCTGCCCGCTGAAGCGTTTGTGGTTGTCTCCTCGTGTTGCAAGGTCCTTGCACCTGTTGCTTTGCTGCTTGCGAATTTATATCCAGTTCCTCGTCGGCATTTTTGAACGTGTTGAGTGAACATCGCTCAACGACGGCTTTGCCCAGCCAAAAGCCCGCCAATCCTAAGTGGGCGGATAAGCCCACAGCGAGGCATCAAAGAGAGCTTGGCAAAGGACTCCAAGCAGGTTCAAAACGTGATAACGCATGATACCTCATGCTGTCGGTGTTGTCATTGACACTGGAATTTGCAGTTTTCCAGCCCTCTCCGACTTACTGCTTGTTGCTCCTGCTCTACTCTAGACTCCTGTCATCCCCTGCCCTAGGCCCTGTGATGCCCTGTGCCTTCTGTTTTGACTGGCCATGCTTCTGTCCGCCTTCTGAGGGGCCGCTGCCAGCTCGGGTGACGGGATTGTCTTGGAGCAGGCGCTGGAGGTGGGTGAGCGCAGACCGCCGGATCGAGGGGCAGCTGACTTCTTTGGATGGGAACGCCCTTTCTCCGCTTGCCCGAGGACAACTTGCAGCTGCGCAAGGAGCTCAATGCTTTGATTCAGGCCAGAGCATGCCAGAGCCATGCTGGAGACAGGTGTCCATACGGTGTCCATAGGTCTTGACCGTCGGGTTACCAGTAGATTAAGCTGATTAAGCCTACCCACGCTGCCTCGTACGCTGGAAGAGCTTCGGAGGAAAAGCGGGAAAGAGCCGAGAGCGGAGCATTCAGTGCTGAAGGACCGATATGAACGAGCTTTCTTTTCTCAGTCACATCATTCGAGGAACTGAAGTAGCCGAAGAAGGCTGGGACGCTGCAGATTCAGATGATTCCGGAGAGGCTTGAGTGTCACGAGATGTCACGAGGCCTTCTGCAGTTCTTCCAGGAAGCCGCGCTCCTCCAGCCGGGGTCCGGCACTTGAGAGCCACGCCCGGCTAGTCACGGTGGCAGTTCGCAGTCGCAAAAAGCAGAGCTGAACAGCTAAGTCGGACTGAGCCGGAAGACCGGGAACCTCTCGCTGTAGCCCTCTAGCCTTTCTCCTTTCAGCCCTTCAGGTCTGAAAAGAGGAGCCAAAAGCCAAAGAGGTCCCTCTTGGGCTGGTGAGGAAACGCCTCCAAAGTGAGGTGTTTCGGAGCAAGCGTTTCACTCCCGATCCCCGCAGTTGCCCATCTTCGAAAAAGCGTGCAACGAGAACGAGGTTGCATTGCTCCGATGCTCAGTGTGAGGCGAATGGCAAGACAATAACCAGAGAAGTCGTGATGGCTCAAGTTGCAAGAGACTGCCGGATCCTGTCTGTGTCGGGGGCTTGGGACAACGACGAGAACACAACTTCAATCCTGTCGGAAAGTCTAGCGCGTCGAAGGCTTTCTTGCTGTGCCGGATCAGCTGCCTTCAGCTGCCTTGGAGTAGCCTTGAGATTGCCTGCAGCAGCAGCAGCAGCAGCAGCAGCACATACAGAATAGCGTTGTCGAACCCATCGGATGGTCTGGATAATGCATGACATGTGCTCCAGACTAGCAGATTGCAACGTGTGCATGAACGGCAGCGCAGTTAGATTGTGGAGTTCTGGGTGTAGTCGGCAGCATCACTCAGGCCGGAACATGGGTGTGGTGGCAAGGATTTGGGGCGCCTTTTCCTGCTCACGGCGCAGATTTTGACTCAGCCTGGCCACGGCTTTCGGATACGACAGTTGCTTTTGGAGACGGCATGGGTGAGATGAGGAACAGTGACCGGCCAAAGTGTCCGAAGCCCTGAGACTGGCAGTAGGCGAACTGACTTCCCTCGAGAACCTCCCAAGGCTCCGTTGACATCAGAGGTTCCGGTCGCAGAAGGCAAGCCTTCAGAAGGCAGGGTCCAGGCTTGTAGCTGATCTCCAGATCGCGACTGTTCTGATTTCTGAAGGTGGGGAGCCGGACGTGCAAGCTGCGGCGACAGAGCTCAAGGTAAAGGGCAACGAATATTTTAAGAAGTCGGCATCTGAGACAACTTGAGACAGGCACGTGACGCACGTGTCATGGGACCGATTTTCCGTCTTCTCAGGAGCGAGTACTCTGAAGCACTGGACGTCTACACGCGAGCAGCAGTGCCCCGACGGAGAGTAGTGTACCCACATGCTACACCTCTATGTCATCATGATCGTGGGTGGCACAGGAAACCTACATGTACGATGCCAGCATTTGGCTGAACCGGTCAATCTGCAACAGGCCTCGCCCCTTTCTTTCTGAAACACATGTTCTAGGGAATTTGGGATGTCCGTGCCATTGGCTTCGTGATGTCAGCTACTTGCAGCATGTGAATGCCCAGTACATGTGCTGCCGGCAAGCGAAGTCTTTCGCAGCAGAATCTCTCCTGTCTCCAGCAATTTTCTTTACTCCGACCCGAGGTCCCTCCCCGTGTCGTCTTACAAAGGTGACCGGCGGAGTCTAGACGGAAGCCATTGAATCTGAGATGCCACAAAACATCATGTCAAGGTCCGTATTGTCGATGCTGTGGCCACAATTCGCAGATGACTTGCCGCCGCGGTTTGCACTGTCGTCGCGGCGGCAGACATATAAACGGATAAATCCTGCTGCTCAAACCATATGATGTCATCGATGCCGATGCCTCAGATGGCTGCTGTAGCCTCTAAGGTCTCCCGTGCATGTTCTCCGAATACCTCCCGCAGTCGTCCAACCCTGTAGCTTGCGGCACGAGCCATGATCTGCAAGTTCCGTGTGACCCTGAAGAACAGTGGCTGTTTTACCTCTCGGTCTCCCGCCTCGGCTGTCTCGGCTGGACTTGTATCAGAACGCCTTCCCGCCTTCTGCGTCTGCAGGAAACTGAACAACCTGGAGGATGCGGCGACAGACGCGGAGATTGCTCAGGAGATTGACCCGAGCAACGTCAAGGCGCACGGGCTAGGGAGTATTCTTGGCCAGCTTTCGGACGAACGTAGTGAAGGCATACTACAACAGAGCATTGGCTCTGCAACTCCTGGATAAGCACGACGAGGACATCCTGCAAGTCTAAGTGGGCTGCCTTGCTTGTCAACGCGGTTTAGACCCGTGCTGATAGGCCCTGAGTATTTGCAAGAAGGGCCTGAACACACAATCAGACAACAAGGCGGGGTCGTCAATGCAGCACGGTGTCAACGCAAAGGCAATATCCCAGTGCCCTCCAGGCTCTCCAGCAGCTCAAAATCGATTTGCAGAAGAGCATTGCAGAGGCACAGCGTGATTTGTATGCAAGGCCTGCAGAGAGCTTCTGTTCGATGTGGCTTTGGCTCATTGAGCATATCACAAATGTGTGGCCATTTGCGCGAAAGCTTCGATTTCGTAGTTTCCCCGTTCTCTCCGTCTCTTTCGCTTGACCCCGGTTTGCATCGTCATGGCTACTCTTCGCGAAGACTCCTGGTTCGCCTTGTTTACACGCGGGCTCCGTGAAGGTCTTGTATGTGACTTCCCCAGAGACGATGCAGCGACGTTTTCCAGACGTCGTCGATGCTGATGCGTTGACCTATAATATAGCAAGAAGACCTCTTGGTGTGCCTCTTGGCCCTCGACTGATTGAATGGACACACGTTCAAGCTCCTCGAAGATGTTCTGGTCTTTATCCCAATTCCATCATGGAGGCCGAATGGTTCACGGCAACGAGCACGGACGTTTTGTGCTGGAACCTTCGCGGGCAAATCTTCGCTGGGGCCTTTGTCATATGTATTGGTCCAGCAACTAAACTCTTCCACAAGTGGCCAAAGCAGAAGCCACATAAATTGTCCTGCACGAGCCGGTCAGGGCGTGCATGGGTCCGACGAAACATCACCGAGACGATCGGCTTTCCGTCTTTCCTTCGACCCGAAGGACTCGGAGTCTTCGTCACCACGGTTTGGGGGCACCACCTCTCGTACAGTCGAGTCGGTCTTCCTGTTCTCACGACCGCCACCACAAAGCCAAACCCCACGCCTGCGTCGAAGAAGCGAGCCAAGTAGACGTCACAATGGTTGAGAACCCACTTGCTCCAGCTCCGCAGGTGAATATTGTCGAGGCTCGGTGCCCTAAACCACTCGGCGCCGGAAAAACAGCCGGTTTTCCCCATCTCACTCATCGACTCCATCAGCCACATACGGCGTACAGTTCACTTGCCTCCCGTTGTTCAACTTTCGGCCTTGGAAGCTTGATGCTTGCCATCAGCATTGACCCGGGACAGTGGGTCCGGTTTCGTCCCCCCTGAAGCTGAAGTTCCGAAGCTTTTGAAGACGAAATTGTTCGCCAAGAGCCGAAGCTCAAATTGTGCGCGAAGACGAAATTTGAAGACGAAATTCGGCCCTGAAGACGAAATTCCGGTGAACACGAAACTCGGTTTGGGCACATTGAAGACGAACTTCGGTCCTGAAGACGAAATAGGTCCAGCAAGCGAAAATCAGCCTGAAGACGAAATACTTCACCACTAAAAAGACATCGCAGATGTTTCTAGGCTCCAGCATGCTCTTCCAAGACACTAAATTCAGCCCTGCAGACGAAATTCAGCCCTGAAGACGAAGCTCAGCCCTGAAGACGAAATTCGGCTCTGAAGACCAGATTTGGCCCTGCAGACGAAATTCAGCCCTGAAGACGAAATTCAGCCCTGACCCTGAAGGCGACATTCGGCCCTGAAGACGAAAATTGGCCGTCAAGACGAAGTTCGGCTCGGAAGACGAAGTTCGAGGTACTATAGGAATCTGGTTTTAAAATCAAAAGCACCCCATCCAAGGCTCCATCTTCTAGGTTTAGGGTGACACAGGAGTTCTGATGTAAAAGGATGATGTAGGAGCTCTGACTTGGAAATCAGGGGCACCCCACAGGGCGCCATCCTCTGAGTTCAAGCTGATGGGTGTTCTGATCGTAGAATCCGGGGCGCCCCATCACCCCCAAGCTCGGTGATGAAGGAGTTCTAAGGGCGCCCCATCAGTCCAAGGCTCCATCCCTTGAGTTCAGGAAGTTCAGGATCATAGGAGATTTGATTTGAAAATGAGGGTTTTCAATCAGAGCGCCCCATCACTCCCAGGCTCCATTCTCCGAGTTTCGGGTGACTTAGGAGTTCTTATTTTAACATGAGGTTAGCCCCATCACTGCCAGGCTCCATTGTCTGAGTTCGGGGTGATATTGGAGTTCTGATTTTGAAATTCAGAGGTGCCGCATCAGTCCAAGGTTCCATCCTCTGGAATTCAGGGTAGCTATATGGGAGTTCTGCTTTATTACCAGGGGTTTCTGCGAATTCCAGCGCCGAATTTCGGGGTCAGGCACATTTTCGGCGTCAGGCTGCGAGCGACAGGCCATTGCAGAGTTGAGGTAGCCCTCCCACATTCGGACAGGGACCGAATGTCGGGGGTGTCAGGAGCATTTCAGGCGTAAGCTCTGGTGAACCGAATTGAGGTTTCAGCAGCGAATTTAGGCGTCAGCCGCTTCCCGGATCGAATATCGCCGCCCCGAATTCGAGCGTTGGGAGCACCGACCGAGTTGAGGCGCCGCATTAAGCTTCAGACTGTGAGCTTCAGGGGGGAGCAAACCGGGACCCACTTCCCCGAGTCCTTGCATCGTCCTGCCAGCTTGCTCCGGTGCCACAATGTGTGTGGACAGCTTGCGAGTGTGCCGCCCAGTCTGACTTCCATGCCAGACGTATTTCAGCCGCATGACGAATTTCGATCGTTACGGGGATCTTGAGGCCCCGTCCCTGATGGCTGTAGCAACAACAACGAGTGGATCTCAGCACCAACTTCCCCGACCCACGCAACACGTTAGTCTATGTTACGGTTTAACATCGCGTTCAGGTTTCGTTTGTGGACGTCCATCGCTCAATTTGGATGCTCGACTTCAACGTCTTCGAGCATAGTTTTAGCGATCTCCGGACTTCCCGAACCTCTCTTTTTCAAACCGCTGAGACGCGTCGCGAGCATGCCGTGCGTGTCTTACCTGATCCCACCTGGAGGTCGACAGTCCTTCGCAGCACATGCAAATCGTTGTGGCCGATCTCCCGAACTACTTGCTGAAATGCCATGCACCGTAGCTGGGTTCGAGGCGCCGACTCTCGGTTTCCACTTTGGAGACGACGTTGGGCTTTTTTCACAGACTCTTGCACACAAATGGTGGACGTTTTTTGTTTTCCAACAAGAGAAACTTACACCAGCCCCTCAACTGCTTCACGCGTGTGGCGCACCGGACGGGGCACACAACCGACGACGGATGGCACGTTGGATCGGTATCGGACGTCAAACAATATTGGAGGATCGCAAAATAGGCCACTGCCTCGAAAGTGCTCACTGAGGGATGTAGGTTTTGTCGAGCAGCGATGTATATCATGTATGATTATGTATGATTTGTCGGTTAGCATTCATCGTCATTCTCTGCGATTTCTCGTGATGTGTCTTAGTTGACGTGATCATGATGTCACTGCATGTTCGCCCAAGTGGAGTCTGCAATGTGATGGCTCCTTGCCTAAGTACAGGCCAAAGCGGCTTGTCCCGGAGAAGTGGTTCCTCGTCTGCCAGTTCTGGAAGTTCGCAGTCGAAGGCTTGTTGTCCCGGCTGAGGCACCGTCCCCACAAGGTCCCGTGAAAGCGGCTGATGCTCTCCAGAAGAAAGATGCTCCAAAGCAGGGATGCCAATTTGGTATTGAGTTCACGGGACGTTCATTTGTGCAGCGAGCTCTTTTCTTAATTTGATTTGCGTACTGCACCCCTCCTTTCCGAAGGTCATCTGACGATGCCTACGAGTGGAAAAATGGAGAGCCCAGCGAAGCAGAGCGGCAGGCAACTCCTTGGCAGAACCCACGCGTGCGTGAAGGCTAAGTTTGATTCCAATGCAAGGGGTACAAAAAAGCCATGGTGGCATCGACCTTAGAATGCCACTGACAGATTCTGTCATAGCAGCTCGCAGCACGTCGTGCCAAGGACATGTTCAGATCCAAGTACGAGGAATTAAAAGAAAGGGCGGAAGCCGCAAAATCTAAGAGGTCGACTCTTCAGACAGACCATTACGAGGACAGCTGCAGCTCTTCGAGCTTGGAACAACCCAAGCTAATGGAAGCGCAACGCGTGCGAGGATGCTCAGAAACAGAGTCTGCAGCTTTCTGGCGGGCACAGGCCAATGGACAGGTGCTTTGCCCAAGGGCCTCTTTAGCAACGCTCAGCAGCGATAAGCTATGCCCATTTTCGAGTCGATCTTGCAGGCCGGATAATGTCGACCTTCCTGCCGACTATCAGCAGCCAGTTGGCTTGCTTTCGGCAGAGCAGTTGTCAGCGCAGATGGCTTGGAAATGGATGCAGACTTGAGGCCGCCTGCAGCCAATTTCGTACGTCTCGCATCTGAAGGTACGACGCCGAAAACGCAAATCGGAGATACCTATTGTCAGTATATGGCAATATATTTGATGTCTCAGACCGCTGCTTGGCAGCATGCTCGTGCTTGCACTCATCTCCGAGAGAAGTGCGGTTAAACAGGTCCGGACAAGTATGATCCAGACGGTCCATACGCCAGTCTGACTGGCAAGGACGCCGAATGATAATGCCATGTCTGATGAAAATGAACCGATGCCAAGCAGAGGTTTGCCATCTGTGGCATGTGGCCCCGCAGGACCTGACGTGGGGGCTGTTCGCTGGCGTGGACACGGTTGAATACACCAATAAGCCGACGCCTGACAACAGAGATTTTTTTGGCGGGGTTGATTGCTGAAAGTCTATCTCCACAGGTTTTATGACTTGTACAAAGCGAGGGACTTGGGAAAGGTGCGATGCTCAGCCGAATGTTGGGCTTTCGGCTTGACGTCCTTTGACCAGTTATTGTCAGGACAAGCTTGCTGGCGTGTGCAGCTGGCTGGTGCTAGGCTCATGTGCTGAAGTCTCGTGGGATAGTGGCAGATGATTTTTCATCGAGGTTGTCCTCGAGTGTTTGTCGCGATATAAGGCATGGTACGAATCGGAATATGGCAAGCCTGTCGGGCAGCTGGAGCTGCTTTCCCAGATGGCGCATCAGTGAAGAGACGCCGTTTAACCCGCTGTCGCCGAGGCCATGGTTGCGAGAAGCGGATCTCCCTGTTCATCCCTCAGAATCAACGAACTCCTTCGATGGTTTAAACGCACCCCACTCTCGAAGGCGCCCCCACTTGAAGAAATCGAGGAGATGTGCGTTGTCCTGCACTCACGACTGGAACTGTCGGTTTGAAGCGTGCCGGAAGCGCTCGTGCCTCACCTTTTCAGGTAATGTGATGTCAGGGAAATGATCGCGTGCGACAAGGGGGTGAAGATGTGCTCGCCCTGGTTTGACTGCCCCGAAAGCACGAGCTGGCAGGTAGATTCCGAGGCAGAAGCAACGAGTTCAAAAACCTGCTAGTAAACCCTCCAACGTCCCAGTGTTTCGATTTCTGCTTAAGTTCTTTAGAAGTTGAGATAGAAACAAGCGCAGCAATGGAATGGCTCGACCCTTCTGGAACCTTTGGGCTGAAGGGCTCAGGTTTGTTGTATGCAACACTTTCCGTTCCCTTCCGGCTTTCAATCTTGTGGCGCCTCATCTTGGCCTGCCTGCGACCCGGTGTCGTAGCTGAGGCCAGTACAGAACTTGGTCCTGCAGGACAAGCTCAGGCAGACGAAGCGGACTTGTCCCGTCTCGGCAGGTCGTCAGGGTTTCACAGCGGATTTCCCCGGACAGATACAGATGCAGCCAAGATGGCTTGGCATCTCCACAGCGTCCTGAATCAGGGATAGCTGTCTTGGAAAGCCTGCAGTGCTGACAGTGGCGGAAGCCGAAATCACGTGCAGTCAACAAGTCGAGCTTGCAAGGAGCGAGTTTCCAATGATTCCATGCTTGAAATATACCTCGGTGTGGATTTTTCTCGTGGCTCACAAAGGAGTGCCTTTCCGGCCCGTTTGGCCTTGGCATATGACGTACCTGGAGCGGTGTAGTTTAGAACCCCCAAAACACAACTTCTCAGCCACAGAAAACCCTCACAGCCACTACCGTCGCTACCGCAACTACCGTACCCAACAGTGCTCTCACACATGGTGCCGCCTCTCTGGGCTTGAAAGCGAGCCTCGAGAACCTCCACGAGCGATCCAGGTGTCAGACGGGGATCATGGGCGGAGGTAGGAGGTCACGAAGAGTTAACCTGTCGGCTGAGACAGGAGGAGTGATGGCAGAAGAGGCCGGCATGTAAAAGGGCTGCAGAATCCCCTGGGACGCAAGTTCGCGAGAGACGCATAAAAAAGAGATGCATTGGACTGGCACTAGTTTCTATCTGATCAGGAGCAACTGTTGATGTTAAGCTTGGATGACTGCGTGTGGCACTGAGCTGGCTAATAACAGTCTGCGTCCCATCGACCTTCAAGAAGCCAGGTCTTGCTGCTGACCAAGAAGCACGGAACGCTGAAGGCCCTGTCCAGAAGAGGGTTCTCGCATGTGAAGCAGTTGAGGAAGCCCTGCAGGCCGCTTTCGACAAGCTCGATTTCTTCCAAGATGGACGCCTTTCCTGTTTGGAATGGCAGGAGCTAGCTAGCAGGTAGCAGCAGTCACATGGAGTCCTTTGCACTTGGCGTCTCTGCGCTACCGTGCTCTGACAGAGCGGCAACGAGGAGGGGTTGCGCCAGCTGCTTTCAACTGGATCGAAAGAGTCGCGCAGGTTGGGCAGCGTGTTGGAAGTTATTGTAAGGTCATGGACGTGCCAGTGCATGCACCGATCCAGGTTCGACCCCTTGAGAGATCCAAGACGCACATGTGACTCTGTGTTGCTGCGGCTTTTCAAAGCGATGGACAAGGATAGCCTGCTGCTCGATATTGTCGAGAGCATTGGACACGTTTTTTTTTTTTTCAGTGTGCACTTGACATTCGAAACACAGGACAAGGACGGCTTCATATCCTTGGATGATCTGGCCAATGCGAAGGGTGGGCTTGGGGCTTGGTTGGCCCACAGCTTGATTGGGCCCCAAAGCATCACGGCTTTGTAAACGGTGATTCACGAGTATGAAATATTGCCAGCTTAGCATTCCAAGGCCCTTTGTGTATGCACGCGAGCTTCGGCACAAGGATACTGAGGAGAAGCTACCGGTGCGCTCTGAGAACTCCCATGGGCTTCGATCCTTAGCCTTACCCAGATCCCGCCATGTTCGGACAGGTATCGCCAAAGGGTTCGAAAGGATCACCCAGATTCTTTCAGGCGACGTCTCACATTCGACTGCCTTCACTCCAGAGATGGAATGCTAGCATCCGTGACTTGTGGTCATTTGAGCCGTGGATTGTCAGGAGCTTTCATACAACTCCAGCTCAATGAATTTCACGCTGCTGCCGTCGGTGTCACGCAAGAAAGATGGAAAGGTGGGAGTGTGCACGACCATGCAGTCGTCCGTGTCCCTTCGTGCTACCTCACCACTTCCCACTTATGTTCCGTTTTGCTCGCAGGAACATTTTGCAGGCCACATCTACTCCGAGATGCGCCGCATACCTACGATGAAACAGCATGTTGCTTTTCCTGTTACTATATTGTTCCTCAGCTTGGCGTTCAAAGGCAGCGTACAGTGCTAGAGCACCTCTTAGCAATCCCGGATCTGCTCAGGGCAGCTCGACATTGTTTTTGTATCGGTTTTACAACTTCACAGATGCTGTACCTTCGGAGCCAGGTTTTGAGACACCGCGAAGCGGGCAGTAGCTGGAATTCGAAAGACGTGTCTGGGAAACAGGTGTCCCACAAGCCCAAAGGTTGCTCGGGGCTGGAGGTACGGCCTTTGCCTACCAGGTCCACTGGGCCGCATAAGATAGACATAATTTTGAAAGTTTTTTTGTTTGAGGATGTTTGCAATTTTGGGTCCAGCGGTGCAGACAGAAGTTGTTGAGGATCTTTCCTTAACGCTGCAGATAGCACACATTTTCGCACCTGGGATGGGGGGCAGTGTGTTTTGCTTCAAGTGGCTTACTATTTCATACTGTGAAAGCAATACATATACTACAATACAGTGTACTAAACTGTAATATGACTGAACAAAAGTGCATTTCGTATGACATAGTATGATATAGTTAGTAGAATAGATAGTAGAATACAAGCAAACATAAGATAGCCTAACATCATATAGCATAGCATAAAATAATACTGTACTATCTTATATGGTACAATAAGACATGTTACAACTTACATATATATATATATAGATGTATGTCCACATGGTAATAAGTTATGATATCGTCTAGAAAGACTTAAGTCAATGTAGTAGAATATAGCATAAGATAATTCAACATAGTATCAGATGGCGCACTGTACTATGACACAGAATGCTATGGTACTTTAGTACAAGAAGGCTTGACATTTTACAATAGATGGTACAATTTAATTGTAACATACCTCAACATGAAGTAATCCGTATCATAATATAATTTAGCATAATGTGGTCGGTTTTCGTGTAACATGTTGCAGCATGGCACACTAAACTGATTTGACATCATGATACAATAGGACGTGACATGATACAATTCAGTATAACCTAGTATATTGTGTATAGTATGCATTTAATATGCTTCAATATAATGTCATATGCATAGTACAACTTAAAACAATGCAGCATTTCATAAAGACGATCCAAGATGACATGACATAGACATAATTCGAATATACTATAACATGATATATTCTGTTTCAATACAGTTTAGTGTAATACAACATGTGTATAGATATATGTAACATAATACAGTAAAATCTACAATAACCTGTCGTGCATGATATGTAGCATAATATTCAATATTGTCGAACAATAGAGTTTTACATTATAAGACATTACAGAGTGATAAACTTACTATAATCTGCAACAGTTTAAATAGAACTGATAATATAACATGAGTTGTGTTAAAGCAATACATGTTAATTGAAAACCGCTTACAACAACCTAAATAATCCCACATAGTTTACTCTTGTACAATGTACAATAAGTTACACAAATAACCCAAAACATTCAAGGTACTACAAAATAGTCTACTCAAAAACAACATAAGATAAAAATATAATAGCCCAACATAATATAGTCTATTGTGCTATACAGCTATGCAATCTAACACAATGCAATGTAATGTTGCCTCGGGTGCACAGAAAGGACATTCGAAAAAACAATGCGAATGAACTAAGGTTTGCGATTGCGTCCTTTTCCGCAATTGCTTTCAGACGTCGACAGTACCCGGATGCGTACAACCAGTGAACTAAAGCCATTTGCACCCTCGGCTGAGTAAACCTTTCTGCACAGATGTCTTGCCCAAAACTCCTGAACGATGCCTTTTTCACCGAGTCAACAAAACTCTATCTGCCTGGGCATGAAGCCAGCGCAAGGTGCGCGCAGCTAACCTACATAGCAGGATGTATTGCACTTCAACTTGAGCTGTCTTTTTTTTGAAATCTCTTTCTCTCTCTCTCTTTTTGTTAGAGTTCTCATGGCTTCGTGATCCAATGGATGCTTAGATAGGCACACTTGCATGCCTGAGTTGCGCACGGCACAGGCGAGCATGTCGAAGTGGGCATGGGTTCCACCTTGACAATACCCGTTTTTCTTCGAGGTGCTTTCGCCGCCCTTCTCATCAAGAAGTTTGACACCCTAGACAAGGCCGTGCTGCGCCCCAGCGGAGACGAGATCACGACTTTTGGAGCTGAGGCTTACAAGCATTTCGACGGAAATAGAAACAACCAGCTCGGGATGACCGAGTTTGTGTCTGGTGTCGGGGCCCTCGCCAAATTGGGTCTGACAGCGACGCTGTCAGCTTGGTGATTTGTCATGTCTTGTACTCCTCTTGCATGCTCGATCTTGAGGCTAGGGCGTTGCACTTCACGGGGAACGCCCGGTCCGTATTCAAGGACGACTCTGACATGTCTTCAATAGCCAGTATGAGACACCGGCCTAGTGTCAATGCCGTTCGCGAAGGAACTCGATCGGAACAACAACGGCAACATCTCAATACAGGAGTTTAAAGTCCTGCGAGCTCTGAATGCGACGGAGGAGAAGCTGAAAAACGTAAATACGGATGCTGGACAATTGGGGCCGGGAGAAAATGTGTTGGATCTGTGCAAGGATGAAGCAGTGACATCGAAAACCAGGCGTGAGCAGGTCGACGAATCAGTTGCCAGAGCGCAGCTGTGTAAGATGGCATCGCAGTGGTTGTGGGCAGTCGCGGCCTGCTTTCGGCACCAGGTGATCGAGCGCAAGCAGCGGTCACCGATCCAAGCGCCTCGCAGACACCAGCCACCTGCCCAGACTGTCGCAGACGTCGCAGCAGTGCCTCGATGCTGTTCGCCAAAGAAGAGGAAAGCTCAGGGAACAAAGGAAGGCACTGGACTATAGAGTATGTATAACGGGGGGAGTGAGGGACAGCAGGCGCATGGAACCCACGGCAATCCAGCTCGAAACGTTTGCTAGGTACTATCGTTTCCCGATTGGAATGTGTAGACAGAATCTGGCGAGAAGTTCATAGAAAGAATACCACAGAGTAGGAAAAGCCGTGTGCAAGCAGGATTCGCCCACGCATCCTGCTAAAATGAAAAACGCAACAGGCATGGCCAAATACTTGGAGACGGATATTAGAGAATGAGTCTCAAAATGCAAGTCCTTCAAGAGACAAAATTCTGGAAACAAATTAACTGAAAAGCGTATTCACGATTAACCGCAAACACAGCCGAGACCTGATGGTGCTGTTATGGAGCTTTTGAAATGGCAACATGCTTGCAATCTGCGAGTTCTGTCACTAACACTACACAACGGTTGGTGGAAAGCTAGGGTGGCGCCAGAGGAGTTGTTTAAAGCTGGAGTGGGCCTGATATTCGAGAAGGGTGATACGGATGTCGCAACCAAGTATAGACCTATCTACAAGACATACATGATGACGCTCAGGTCTCGGTTGCATGCAGCAGTCTTACAACTCAATTCGGGCTCCGTCCTAATATGTCTACATCTTCCGCCATCGACATACCTGGACGTGTTCGAGATTTATGGTGAAAGCACATCCTTCAATTTGAGTCTGGCAGTGCTAGACTTGGAAAAGGCTGTCAACAAGATACAGCATGATAAGCTGAGACTCGCATTAGAAAGATTAAGGCAATAACTCAACATTCCTTGTCAAAGGCGGGCTTGATATGTCACGAAAGCTAGCGTAGCTTCGTTTCTATCTGCGTAAGCAGTGCCGGATGCTGGCCAGACCGCAAATTCTAAAGAATTGATTTTTCGAGCAAACGGCCCCCCTTCCCCCCGCTCCCCCCTGCCCCCCTCCCCCCTCAGTTGTTGATGTGGTTGGATGTGGAGGTGATGACATCATGCAACATCTCTGATGCGGTTCTGGATGCATGTGAGGATGCCGGGGTGGCCGCCTCGCCGGCTGTGTTTCCCCTCTGGTGCGGTTCTGGATGCGCTTGGACTTTGGATGTGATAATGCTTGGAGCTGTTTAGCTTCCGTTGCTGCTGTGGTTGGATGTGATGATGCTTGCGACCCGCCTCGCCAGCTCTGTTTCGTTTGCCGTCCCTCCAACCTAGGCTTACTTTCGTTCCCCTGGCCCCGCCCCTCGAGTCTGACATCAAGATCTGCCGGCAAAAGGGCAGGGATGTCCACCATCCCCCTCTTTGTTTGTTCTGAAAATGACATGCATTGATGTAGACATCCAAAGCAATGTTAGCATATGTTAGTCAGGAAGTGATGTGTAATCGCATTATCAATCGAAGAGCATGCAACGCTTCGAACGGACTGAACCGACAAACACCAGGTACTCAGAAAAGTGCACCGCGGAAAATCAAGCAGAATAGAAGCAGCGACGCCAGCTGTCACATTGACAGCATGGAGACTCCCGCCCAAAACTTACTCTCTTGCGTTGGTGCGTGTGTATGCTCATTTGTGGCATCGACCCAGGCGCAGTGTCTGCCTCGCTTCAACGCATGTGCAGTTCCCGGAGGCACGATGCCGCTGCGCAAAGATGTCAGCGATTCTTGCAGAAACACATGCGTTTCTGCAAACAAAGCGAATGTAATACTTGCAGTTGCGAAATAAGCGACCAGTTCCGTACTTGCAATTGTGATGTGGGCGGCCAGTTCCAGGCTGAGCACGTATCGTCATCGGCTGGGTTCTACTCATTTCCGAGAGCCTGCACTGGCCGTGCCGACCTTCAGCCAGGGGACTGAGTTGTTTGGTGTTTTACTCGTTGTTATCGCCCGGAGATGGCCGAGCCCTCTCATGCCTCCTTGACGTTTTGCAGCGCGGCAGTTCTGTTCTCAGCTGTAGTTTATAGCCCAACACGCTCTCCCAAGTAAAATCATCGGTGCGGCCATGCTCATGCTCAAACGGCATGTGGGCGATTGTGCTTTCTCCACGCCCGGTGCGACTCTTCATCTGTAGTTGCCCGCAACTGCAGGTATATGCACTTCGTCAGTCGTCGGTTTTGCACTTCTTCAGTATTCTTCAGTTGTTGGTCCGCCGCGGTGTCGGTGCCGAGAAGGAGTGCGCTGACTGCTTCACCTCAGAATCTAAGACCCAGTCGACAAGTGTGAGCCATCACCTGTCACCCATCCTCTACCGATCCATATGCCTCCCAAATGCTGTGGCTGACTCTCAAGCTTGTGAACAATCGCCCGAGCACTCTCAATGTCACAGCTCACGAACGCCAAGGCTTCACCCGGATGAGATTCCTGGCTTTGCCGCGGTCTTAGCGCTGTCGAGGCATTTGCTTGCACTCCTGGGCTTTGCTGAAGCCCAGCTTGCACGAAAGACGCAGACTGCCTTCTACATTTCAAGTTGTTCCCGGTTTTGGCGGACAGGGAGGATGGAGCATGTGATTCTTGGTGTCCTTACAACTGTAGCAGATGCACTGGCCTTCCGACTCCCGACGTACGAACATACTTCTTGAGTCGCGGTCGAGCTTCTCTTTTCTGATTGTTTGCCCAACCTGTTTGCAGACGTAGGTTACTAGAACTATCAGGTTGCATGCCTGCCAAGAAAGCAATGTGGGCATAGCCTTGCCTGCGGGCTGAGGATTCAGAAAATTTCACGAAAGAGCGAGGGCCGGCTTCTGAGAAGCGAACTGGACAAAGCAGTCATGTAATGGTGGAGCTTCTGTGTTCGATTCCAGCAGGCCAGGCTATTGCAAGAGAGGTCCGGAATCCTTTACGGAGGCCTTCAAGTTGCTACGGAACTCATTTCCGCTGCTTTTCACGTGTCAAGTGCGTTTGGGCAGGTTATGCCGGATGCACATCCCCTCCGTGGCAACAAGTTCAAGGTGATGCTTTTGATTTGACTCGCGAGTGTACGTCGTAAGCGGCAGTTTGCTCTCGATAGTACGCTGAAAGCAGCCAGTGCTCGTGGAATCCGAGAAATGTAAGTGCTATTGCAGATCGCCACTTTGCATTGCCGAGAGCTTGCACCATTTCCCAAATCTTGCTGCGGTGGCTGGAGAAGGAGTGTTGGTTTTTGGGGTCGTATTGCCTTCATCACTCTGACTGTGTCACTGTGTCTGTCGCTGTGTCACTGTATCACAGTTGCCACCGGTAGCACTACCACGACCACTAGCACGATCACTATCACCATCACGATCACTATCATCATCATGATCACTGCCACTATCACCAGCACCAGCACTGTCTCGACCGCTCTGGCTAGTGTCTATGAGTTTATTTACTACTATCTACTACCTACCATGCTATATCTACTTTCGCTATTTACTCTGTATTGTTTGCTGTTTACTGACAGTACGATCACTATTCGATTGTTGGCAATGTTGTGCGCATTCCCAAAGAGTACGCATGATGCGGTATAACATGAAGACCTACGCACACAAACACATCTCGCGTTAAATCGTCCGTGACGAGGGTCTTGCCCTGGGAAGGAAACACGAGGCAAAGCGATCGAGCACTCCACCTATACAGCCTGTTTTGGACTCCCTCACTCGACACCCCAGCCTGCACGTGCAGTACATGTCGAGTTGAGCTTGCACGGCACGCGAGTCGCCGCCGCACTCTGAGCATGACCCCATGCGACCACAGATCCTTTTCACACATCCGTCGAGCCGCATGGCAGCCAAAGAACAGGCATTGGATTGGATCTGCTGCACACGTTTTACCCGATCTTGCAGGGCGCTCGCCGCCGGGGATTGCCGTGGGTGAGGATAAGCTGGTGATAGCTGGTGCGCGAGAAGGAGGATGACTTGGGTGGAGTCCCAGTACACCTCACGGCGATTGGGTTGTCCATCCCATCCCGATGAATCGTACCAAGGAGTATTGAGCGGTGACTCCGTACGCTTATTGAAGGTCAATACGGTCCGATCCAAAGTTCAGGGTGATGGACTGATGGAGACGTGGGCGAGGGGGAATCGCCCAAGTCGGACCAACAGCCCCGCTCGTTATATCGCGCATGCATGATAATGTCATGATTCCGGTATGGTCGTATTCCGGTACTGATACAAGCCAATCATCAACACATGCAAAAGCGGGGGGGCGATCACATACGAGGCTCGAAGCAGCTTCCTTAGTCCACAGTGGCCGCAACAAGACCCACCCACCGGTTCTGCTGCTTGGCACTCCTTCCGCTGGCTGCAGCTGCTGATGCTCGTGGGTCGTTCTGATGTTTTCTTTGACACCTGCACCGGCTCCTGTGCGCAGTTTACAGCGTTCATTAGTTAGCTGACCAGGAAGGCGTTGCCTGAACGACCCCGTAGATTGCGAGGTCGGCAGCACTGTTCCGCGAGCCGAACGTTTTGGTCCCGCGATTCCATCCGTCGAAGGAAGAAAGGACGTAGTCGTGACGGCGGTCATGAACGGAAAAGATGATCGGCATTTTGCCTGTGCAGGACATGGAACACAGCGCAGCAACCTTCGCGACCTATGAAGGTCGCAGAGAGCATCTGTACACTGAGGGTTTGGTCACGACCGTCTGCGAGGCAGAATGCCACGCATGAGTTGGAAAGTGGACGGCACCGGCGCGTCTGGAGCTCACTTGGTCTCGGCGCTTTTGCTCACGTCAGTTGTGGAGCCATTTTCGCGTTAGCTTCGGCCTCCGATGTTTAATATCTGCGCTGCACAGCATTTTTTGTCCTATGAACTGCGTGTAAGCTATGTCGGATCCGTACTCTTCTTTTCTTGATAAGCATTTGGATTTGAAGTTGTTCAGGCACGCACCCAATCGCTCTGCCATAGTAGGGTTGTTCCGACACCCTGATGAGCGGAACCCTGATGAGCGGATGTCGTGCGGATGATCATTAAGTCCAAGGCAGAAGCAGGAACCTTGGGATTGTTCCGCTCAAGAGTCTCTTTGCTTGAGCAATTGTCCGTCAACAGGGCAATTGCGACAAATGCCGAAGAATGCACTTAAGCAAGCGACTGCATCAGTGTGGAAGCCTACTAAGCGAGTATGGGCATATCATCATTTACTCATTACTCTTCTTCTGCCGCTTTTCGGCTGTGTGCGTCCCTTGGAGCGAAAACAACTTGTGCCTTGGTTCCAGTGCGGCCAACCTACATTGATGGGCAGATGCAGATCTTCGAAGTTCATCTTTTGCGCTCTCTCAGATGTTGGATTGGTCGGTGCAGCACAATCAGGAGTTCACCACTCCAGCAACCTGCTCCGCATGCGGTGGCAGGAAGGGCTGTGATCATCTTCGGGTGCACTGTGCGAATACCTGGTTCTGCACCTTAAGCTTTCGATGATTCTGTTCGCCTTTCTGGTCTCCGTGCTTGTTCCAGTCGCCTTGAGCCGCATCTCGCTACAGCACTAAGGCAAATATTCCTTTCCAAGAAGGAGCGGGTAGGCCTGACGACCGGCAAGATCCTCAGAACTCGGAACGGACTAAGAGGTTTTGCATTTCGCTGCGCGTCGCGGTAAGGCTTGTCCGACAGCTTCCGGCTTTTGAAGCTCTGAGCCGAGTACAAGAGATTAAAAACGGCACCCCTCTTGTCCAACAAACGAAGCGAGTACATGCTGAGGCCCGCTCCTTGGGACAAGTCCAGAACGCTTCTTAAGCTCAAATCGCACAGCGAGTCTGGCCCAGAGCTTCTTTGGTTCGTCAGTTTTTGACGTGTTTGCTTGTCGTTACTTTGTGAAGGTCGATCCTAAAGTGCAAGGATTGCTGAGTCGCTGGCAGCGTGATAGCACTTGCTATAGCTATAGTAGCTCTCCTGCAGGCTAACTGCGAAGCAGTTTGCCGGGGCAGCTCACTAGCAGCAGCAAAAGCAGAAGAGATCGGAGAAAGGACTCAGAGGAGTAGGGATGCCGAAATGCAGGATGCTTGCGGGGATGCTGGCAGCCCAGTCGCGAGATCTGTGTATGATTCGTTGAATCCGAAGCTTGTTGAAGCTCAGACAGCTATCTCTGCATGTGCCTCAACACGGTTTCCAGAACGTACTGAAATCCTTTTGCCACCCCAAAAAGCATCTGTGCCTGTTGTTGAAAGTCTGCGTTTGTGGGCGTAGCTTTTGCACGACACGAGGAAGTGCACTTCATAGAACTCTGCTGCCCAAGAAACAGCACGAATTGTAATGCTCTCTACATCCAGCGATCCTTTTGATGTTGCCGCCGACCTGGTCATGCCAAGAGGAGCATTGAGTCTGTCGATATTGTCGGCGAAATATCAAAGCAACAGTAGGAGTAGGTAGCAGTTTCGGAAAGTTTGGTCGGCATAGTTGCATCGCACTCCAATGTTAAGCTTAATGTTAACACCCAAGTGTGGCCGTCACAACGAAATTATCACTGCGCAAGCTGATATCGTCGTGCATAAAGCAGTTGTGTGACAGTCGCCAAGGCAAGGGATGAAGTGGAAGCAGCAGTCCGCAAGGCTCCAGCTGGCAGTGGGAGGAATGCCTTGAAAATTGGCCAGTTGCCGCAGGTGCGGGGCATGCACAAAGAGCACGGCCCTCCGTTCCGGCATGAGCCAAGCGAAGCGCAGACTTGAGTAGCCGAGGTGGCAGCGATTGCTGCAGAATGAGAACACCACGGAAAGCAGCCGCTTCAAGGCAGGATTTTGCGCCAGTTGCCTGGCAGCTTGGTTCAAAAGCACCGGCATATGTTTACAGAGGAATGCCACAAAGAACTCCTGGCCGAGTTGGCACAGCTTAGCGGCGATCTTGCCGAGGCTTGGGTGGGAGGGGCATCAGAGTGCAAATACAGGCAGCACAATGCAGCATAGCAGTGGTAAGGTACAACAGAGCATCAAGGTGGGACCGTCAATGACATCGGCTTGAGCTTGGGCTGGTGTGCATGGAGGCTGTGGAGGACAACCGAGATCGGTTCCACCTCAGCGATGCCCAGCTCGCGACGAGAAAGGACCATGGCCATTACTTACCGTTTCCAGCCGGACTCCCATATCGAATTGAGCTTGAGGATTTTTTGGCTGCCAGTGCGGTCCCTGGAGGGTAGGTCTTCCGATGTGTGCATAACAGCTTCGGGACAGGTGCCTTAGAAAGCCGCGTGCAGCATTCTCGCGAGGCCAGAAGGCACACCAGGAGATCAACTCCAGCTTGTCGAGTGCTACGGTACAGAACAAGTTTGACGAGGCACACTACCCAGACAGCACATTGTGGCATCATCTTCTTGCCGTGCCGCGACGAGGACCGCAGGCAAGCCCTCCTCCGGAATCAAAGACAGGCGAAAGAGACGGCAGAGAGGCAAGAGTTTTACTCGATGTGCTGCAAGCTTCAGGATGCTTCAGGGGGCATCTCTTTCCAAGCCTGGCCCCAGGAACCTGGCTCAGGAAAGCAAAGCCTTCCTGGAGGAGCAGCGCTTGCTGCAGAAGCAGCTCCTTGCACAGCAGGAGGACCAGAGCTTTCTGATCGGCTCTGCAGCACCGTGCGGCCTTAGCAACATGTCTCATGGCCTTAGCAGCATGTTTCATGCTGAAGTGCACGAAAAACGCCATAAGTGTAAGCAACAAACCTGTCTGCAGCTTTCTTGGCACAAGCCAGACGTCATGTTCCCCAGACGCCAAGCTCCGCTTATTGCGTGTGACTGCACAGCGCGTGCCTGCGATGCACCTTGTTGCCGTGTGCTTTGCCATGCACTGGCCACTGAGCGCTCCTCAGGTGCAGTTAGGCTCCAGAGACATCAGAGACCATGTCGGGCCCAATGGGTGGCCAGGCAGACTTGCTGACTTGCTGTTGTCTGTAGGCAACATGTTGCAGTCGAGCTTGTAGTTAGTTGACTTCGAGTCGAAGGCAGGCTTGGTTCGCACCAAGCCGGTTAGCAACAGGAGAATGCCCACCCGAGGCACGCGTCCGAAAGGGGCGAGAGAGCTTCCAGTCTCTATTTGCATGTTCCCGCACAGGTTTCAAGATGGGTAGCTATGTCCGAATCACGTACAGGCTGGAAACTCGAGCAGCTTCATGAGCCGCCCCATGCATTGCCTTACCACCAGGTGTGCAGGAAAGCATGGCGCTGAAGAAGACAATGCTGACTACGAGGGCGCCACGATGCGCATTGTGGTTCTCGGTTTATTTGAAGATTGCCTGTCCAAGCTGATGATGATCTTATCCTGTGCAGGAAAGCTAGTGGACAAGCGAATTGGCGGAGAAGACAGGGAGTCGTTCATCACTTTGAAGGCGCTAGCTGCGATTCAGACCCAGCTGAAAGAGTTGTGAATGATTGTGCTCGTCGCTGTGGCAGGATTGCCTGGTTTTCGATCTCACTGGGAGGTTCATCGAAAAGCTGAAGCTTGGACAGGAAAAAACTAGAAGAGTCACCGTCATTATCGCCTGAATCGTTTCGAACCTGGTTGAAGTTTTGGCCGCGACTCGTTACCGGTCTCTCTCAGGATCCTTGTCAATGATCTTGCATGATCTTGCTTTATGTACCGCCCCGGTGCGAAGGATCAGGTAACAGGTCTCTCACGACATGCACGGTTGCAGAAATATGAAAGCTGGACTTGACATGCTGAGAACCTTTTTCCTATTTTCGACGAGAACTTCTGCATGTTTGGAATGCGATGGAAATATCAACGAGCTGGTTTCGCTCATCCGTTCAGCCTTGTTATCTTCAAAGTTGTGTACGATTGGAGCTCCCGCGTGAGGGCCCATCGTTTTTCGGCGAAATTTGCCGGCGTGGGGCGCAGTTGTGTAGGAGGACCTGAAATCATTTATTAATATTGGATTTGACAACCTGTTCAAGTGGAGGTCGCCGGAAATCAACAGTCATGTCCGGAAATCAACAGTCAAGCCTGGACACTGCATGACCCCATCTGACGGTTCTTTCTGCAGGTTTTTGCTTTGCGTTAGCCTGACGTGGAGCACTGAGTGCTGATATCATGGATCGTGAGCGTTCACCACAACGGCCACCGTGTGGCGAACTTCCCGCTCCGCCGTCCAGTTGGATGCAGCCACGACCCGCTCTTGCTCATGGCCCCTCCCGTCCTATGATTGTGCAGCCATAAAACCTGCAGTGGCAGCCGAGCCCCACATTATCCTGGGCACATTCAGCACCGATTGCTCCACCAGCTAATGGTTCTCCATCCGCGTCGGTGACAGGAACTCAACGAAGCTAAGGACCCTTGATGCCCGTAGATTTCGCTCAAAGCTTGTACAGACGCAACATCGCAACCCTTCCAACGTCCAGGTGGGTGAAAAGCGTTGTTGATGGTCATGTTGTCTCTTCGGCTACCTTGCTGAGTTTGCCTGCATGAGAACCCATGCATATTTATTTTCGGCCGAAATTTCGGTGACCACAAAACGGACCCTGCATCTGTTCGAGTGCATGTTAGCTCCTTGTGGTCTTGTCGTCGGCTAAGGAAGTCAAAGAAGTTAATTGATGCATACGTTCAGACGTGTGAGTATGCGGACAAGCGCGAGAAAACGCCAGACCGTCAGGCAATGGCTGTCGTAGCATACCCGTCAGCTTGCGTTTGCATATAGTTCACAAGGCCTGTTGCTTGTTCAGGGTGCGGCGGCAGGAGGAGCGCCCCAAACATTCTTCCCCTTTCACGAGGTTGGATCCCGCACCGTGCAAATTTTAAGACGTGTTTCTGAGCCAAATTGAGCAGGCCGGTGGGGTTCAACAGGCCAAAGAAGGCAGGACCTGCGGCACTGTTGCAGACAATGCCGCTTTCTTCTGACGCTGAGTAGGAGTGTTGGGGGGGGCGGTCGGTGCGTGTGAGACTCTTCCTGTTTCTTCGGAGTAAGCGTGCGACAGCGATGAGGCAACGAGCCCGCGGACGATGACGACTCCGATGACGAGCCGGCGTCAGGCATGATGCCTGGAATGATGCCAGGTGTCTTGCAGGAACAGGCATTGAGACATCGCACCGATCCGTACATGTAGTTTTTGCTCAACTCAAACCCGACACTTGTGGTCTCCAGTGACTAGCGTTGGGTGACCGCATGTGAGTAGCGACCAACTATTATGACCTGGTTCCAAGTGCCGGATGACGAGTGAGACATGACCATCTACTGACTCTGCAGCTTTTGGACGCTGTTGGTGGGATAGGGGTTTAAACAAAATTAAATCAGGATCAAAAAAAAATTAAATCAGGATCAAAAAGACATTAAACGATAAAAATACAATAGGAGCT